ATTTTGCTACTGATGTCCGGTTTATTACTACTACTACTTAAATGTCTTTGGTATTCATAGCAACTTTTCGCCATGTGGGTGTCGTACAAGGCGATTACGGGAAATACCTGTCTTTTTTAGTTTTCAACAGATGGCGATATAACTACGTCGTCGGACGTTAAATATTGTTCCATTCCGATCAGAGAACCCATTGTGAAATGTCTGATTTCCTTCAATAGATGGCGTTATAACTACGTCGTCGGACGTTGAATATTGTTCCATTCAGATCAGAGAACCCATTGTGAAATGTCTGATTTCCTGCAATAGATGGCGTTATAACTACGTCGTCGTACGTTAAATATTGTTCCATTAAGATCAGAGAACTCATTGTGAAATGACTCATTTCCTGCAATAGATGGCGTTATAACTACGTCGTCGGACGTTAAATATTGTTCCATTCAGATCAGAGAACCCATTGTAAATGTCTGATTTCCTGCAATAGATGGCGTTATAACTACGTCGGACGTTATTGTTCCATTCAGATCAGAAAACCCATTGTGAAATGTCTGATTTCCTCCAACAGATGGCGTTATAATCATCTTCTATGTGATCGAAAAAATACTCAAAGCAGCAATAAGGTTTCGAAATATCTGATACTGCAATTACCAAAACAGAATAATGGGAGATCCGTGTTCAACTGTGAATGTTATTGATGTTATGGTGCTTGAAATAGTTCTAAGTAGAGCTATGTCACCCTGGTACTTACAACTAAGAAGGGAGAGGGGTGTGCAAATGAAACCATATTGTTGCTCTATTTTATATATTCATTCAGACAACGGTACACTGTGACAATAACGAACTTAATTACTGAATGCAATTTATATAGACACTACATAATCATTTAATCAGATGAACGGCCACTAAATGATTTCGAAACTGTTCTCTACATGCAATATTTCTGGTTACTGGTTCGGGACTAACATCGATTTTGCGTAACTTGTACTTAACAAATATACTGGCTGAAAGTAATTTCGTCGAGCATTTCTGCTTGTCCGAACGAGTCCACTATAATATAACAATAATTACGGACAGCGATAGTTTTACACATATAGTATTATTATAATGACATCGAGATAACGTGTAATGCATTATTAAATGTTTATAGTTAGACTTAAACGGAAACTAATTCTGAATCTACTTTCATTCGGACAGCGTTAACACACGTATTACATTAAATTTACCCTACATTATAGAAAGATACATTTTCTTTGATCACAAAAGTAAAAATATCGTATTTCATAATACAGAGATACCAGGAACGCAGATAATAAAAGAGAAAAAAATAAATCTTAACAACAATAATTCAATGTAAACATAATCGTTATAACGACAATAATGATCGCAACCTATTTTACTTTTTAAAAACATTTGCATAAGTTTGTTTTTAAATGACACTGACTATTTGGTTACCACGCGGGGATTGATTAAAAAAACAACAGAATGAATTCTGAAAAATGTTACATTTTAAATACTCAACACAATATACCTACCAAAACAAAGTCTCAATGATGATAATTCAACGCGGCTTAAATTGAATATGTGGGCCACGTGAGCAACAAAATAGTCTATTTTGATATGCATAAAATCATTTTTGTTAGAGCCAAAAGCAATGATGATACTTAGATAAATGTTCTTAAAATATCGATACCCACGGAGAGCAGCGCTACTTAAATCTAAACAGTCACTTGAAATACAGAATTACAATATTTAAGGTAAAAAAAGAAATAACACTTTTTGGTTATTTGACAGGTTTAAGACGTGAATATTTTGAGCCCATAAAGGCGGTAGGAATATAAACTAAACAAAATAAATACTTTGTTAAACAGTAATAGTTATTAAACACTACAAAAAAGGGCTTGCTTGTACAAGCATTGCCACTTATAATTAAAAAAATATTTTATCACAAAAACAAAAATAGATGGTGTTGGTTTTGTCATGCAGTATAGCACATTGTGCGAGTCGCCACTCGCCAGTAATGATTTGAATTAGCTATTTAAAACCATAAACAAACGCGTAGTACATAGTTGCAAACCAAAACCGCCTGTTTAGGTTAAGGTCCAATATAACTACAAGTAATTCTTTACTTAACTATCACGAAAATAACATAGTTTTACTTACGTTTATTTAATCGAAATGTATATTTTTCATCCAGTACAATAAATTAATTAATGTTTAATTATAACTACAAAATCCAAGTGTGATACAAATCGAACCCTTTCGGTTCAAACAAATGGCACATTGCAATGTCTGCATTGTTTCCCAGTGGATTTTTTCTTTCATTGTTTATAAAGAAATATAGAATTAATTTTGATGCCGAATAACTAACGCTTGCCTGTCAGGGTATTACCACATCGGCCAAATATATAATTTTATGTATAATTTTTACTATATAATAGTCATATGTATTTAATTTTATATAATAATTTTGAATTTTTATTATTCTAACTTTTAATAGGTAAGCACGTTCAAGGCGGCCGTGTGGCAGTACAGTGTACGGAACTAGTGTGGAGATGGAATGTACATCTTGTATCGATATACAAAATGTACATTACCCTCCAGGCCACAGCACTGCCACAGGTCGCATCCAACCGATCATCGCCGCACCCGTCCCAACACTTACTGTGGTCAAAAATTTGGAAGGCACTTTCTACTTTTTCAAAATTTTTTAATTTATCTTTTTGAACACATTAGCCTAAACTTACACAATAGAAAATATGCGTAGTAACATTTACCAAAATCTACGCAATTCATCCGAAACGTATAGGCCGTTTATATAACTTTTTTTTAATTTTTCACCTAAAATAATTTTATTTCCAAAAGGATAGCCAAATAGTTTTCAACGCTAGATCAGAATCGCGAATGAATTCTTTTAATAATTTGGTCTTTTTTATACACTAATTCCAAACTTCAACCGAATCGGATAATCCAAATTCCAAACAATAGTGAGATATCAAGGCCACTTTGAGACTTATTTTAAAGTTGTTTCCCGAGCGTGTACTGCGACGAGACTTACTGGACATGGCACCACCGAGTCCGCATCGGAGCCCTATAGCGGCGGAGCCACGCCCTTTTACATGTCACACCTGATAATTACGCCAACGAATTTCCGCCAACATTTATCTAAATCATGGTATACCCTTGCGGCAAGAAGATCCATAATATAAATTTTTCCCGCCGAAACTATGAAATTAATTAACTCTGCATCCAGGGAAGGTGTTGATGAAAGAAATTTGTACATGTACACCTTAATAAGAGATTATTTACTTCACGCTGGCAACACTAGTGGAGCGTTATGTCGCTCGGGACCCTGGGCTACACAGAAAAGGTCCTAGCGTCGCCACCGTGAACTGTGATCAAATGCTACAAATTGTTACATAGCTACTCTAATTAAATTGAAATGTTTTAATACTCTAGCTACGCGGTAGGTAAGTTAGCAGACGCTCGGATGTATATTCAACGCTTGGCGATTTCAGTGCTCCTAAACCTAAAACGGGCAAGCCTCGTTCCCTCACACATTAACGGTGCAGTTTTTTTTTACTGTTTATATTAATGTTATGTTATAGTAATTGCTTTTTTTCTATTCATATATAAGGAAAGACAAAGTTCTAAAGACCATACAGTCATTATTACCATAATCTCATTTGGTAGCAACGGTCAATATTTTGACATTTGTCTATTATGTTCTTTTGTCAAAAAGATTTACCAATGAGATGTGTGATTTTGAAAGGATTCCGAAACTTATATTAATCAGTGTAAGTATGTCTAATAATTACATAATATAAAAACGGGAGAGAATTTTAATTTTTACAAATTTGAGATTTTTTCATAGATGATAAATTGTTTGCCAATCGGCAGAATTGTCAAAGTCTGCGCACTAAACATTTCTACTCCTCCAAAAAAAATGTTTCTTAAATCACATTAAGAATACTAGAATTTTTTTCCGTAGAAACGCTGATGCATTTGTATTGCGTACACACGGCTAGTGCTGAATTAAAGTTGTACGAAGCGGTTAATGCGTGGAGGGCGGGCGAGCCCCGAACATCTAATTTAGCCTAACATTTGGAACAATCACTACTGGCTAAGGATAAACTATATTACATTTGGCGATCACTAAATCTACTCGAACGTGAATCGCTGCACGAACAGTGAACAATGAGAGGCCCGGGGCGGGCAAGCGACACTCACTACACTACAGTAGAGAAAATGACACCGACCTGACGTTAAAACGAAATGACAGACACCTATATACTTTAATTCAAGGTTACATCTAGAGCTAGTTTATAAGTTTTGTCTTACACGTTATGTATGTAGCTGATTATAATGAATAGGTATACCGAACAGTCTTTTTGAAACTACTAGGGCCGAATGTTTTGAATTTTGTCATCCCAACGTTCACAGATGGATCTATGTATTTAATTTAAGCTTATCGTAATATATTTGACGATCTACTCGCGGGCCGAGGGGCGCCGGGCCACAACAGGGCCCGGGGTCCCTCGCGGTCGCGCCTCTTAAACTACGTCACTGGAACACATACACGAACGACAATGTATACAAATAATAATAATAATAATAATTGAACTAAAAATATTCCTTTATTTACGAATTATGAAAACTAAACAACAAGCATTTTATTGCACAGCGAGTCCACTTTAAATAATTAAATATGACAAAATTAAACCAATGGCGGATTACGATAACGCTAGAGAACGTGCTCTTCAACGTGCTTAGAAGTAACCGACAGAGTTGCGGTTGGGTACGAAGTACGGGTAAGCGGGCAGCGGTGGGGGGGCAGGCAGCGGGGAGCCGTGTGAGCCGTGTGATCCGTGCGGCACGTGTGTGCCGTGGGGTCCGTGCGGCATGTTGGTGCCATGGGGGCCATGGGACACGTGGGTGCCAAGTGACACGTTTTGCTGCACGGATGGTACGGCGGCGACGGCTTGACCCGCGCCCGCGGCCTCGCTTCAGATGTTCTCAGCCCGCGCCTCCCCAGGTGGTGGCTCCATCTTCACCGGCAGAGGCGTGGTCAGATCCTTGCCGTTCTTCGACATGCCCAACGGCGTCTTAGGCGGGCCCATCTCCGTGATATCGGCGACCGAGTCACGCTCGCTGTAGCGGCTGTCCGGGCGTGGGGAGGCGAACGGGCGGAACGGGTCAGTCGGCTTCGGCGGTTCGAGGGCGTGGCCGGGCGGCGGGGGGGAGCACAGCGGGGACTCCAAGCCGGAAGAGAGTGGGGATGGCAAACGCGGCGACTGCAGCGGCAGCGGTGGCAGGCTGAGGTGCGGTGGATGGTCGGGCGGCCGCTGAGCCGCTACCACCATGTTGCACATCTGGCGGCGGAGGCCGTGTGCTACGGCTGCCACGGCGGCAGCGGCGGCTGCGTTCGGTGAAACCCCACCTTCGCGCCCGTTGCCACACGGGACGCTCCCGTACGCGTTCTGTACGCCCACGCCCATTCCGTCCTGCAACACGCGCACCGGCATTCTGTTACAAAAGCTCAAAAATAATGGGTTAAGGAAATTCGCCCGAGCTTTCTAAAACCAACAAAGTCACGAGTGCACATTGTCTAAACTGCGGCGACAATCCTATCGTAATCTAATCTAACCGCGGCGCCGAGCCAGATATAAAGTCGCAATTGCAATTTCGCATTAGCAGATTGGAAAGCATATTAAACGGCAATGAATCGGCGCACAACAAAGGTGTTCGTGCGGCCTCAAATAGATAAGGAACGTAGGCAGCAGTCATTACGCGATACTGACCGTGATAGAAGGGTAAGGTAGGACCTCCTCCTTGATGTGGTGGGCGGCGTGTGCCGTGTGCGTGTCTCGGAACACCACGGCGCGGATCACGCCGCGAATGTGCTCGTCCGGCCAGACTCCCAGCAAGATGCGTTGAGGACGCCCGCGTCCCTTGGGCCTCAGATCTGGAAAGGCGCGCAATAGTAAAGCGTGAACTGACTGCAACGTTTCACTTCACCTTGTGAGACGGTTACGGGCCACAGATTATATATAACTTGAGATTTCGAAATATTATACACTATTACTATACGTAAGATGGTTTCGGTGACACGATTTGACAGTTATATTTTGCATTTCGGAATACTTATAAATACTTAAGTATTCAAATGAAGTTGTTAAAAATTATGCAATCTAGAATGCGTATAATATGGTCCATCAAGTGTCAACCAACTCATCCTATGATAAAGTACACAAGTCATTGGGCGAACAAGTAAGAGGAAATTCAATATTTAACTCTCATTTGAGGGTAGGTAAAAGTTTTCTTATAGGAAAAAGAAATGTAATTCACAATAATGTTTGTTTTATAGTACTTTGTAGTTATTGCATATTAACAAAATTTTCATTCCCCTTTTTGTTGTTCTTAAAATTTAATGCAAATATAAAAATAACAAATACAGGTTTTTATATAAAGGAAATACAACAATAGGAATAGAATTAGTCTAAATTTCAAGTTACCTATCCGACCTTAACACAAAAGGATTTTTATTTAGAGTCAGGTTTAAACTAATATATATTTCACGAAAAAAGTCCAACGGAAATATGCGAATTAAAACGCAATGGTATGGGATTTGGCAGCAAATGTCAAATTTTGGGTAGACTGTCGCGCCGCGCCTAAGGGACTTTTAGAGTTGGAGGGACTATACTTAAACCGTAGTTTAAGCCCGATACTATCAATAAACCATATGTTTTAACAAGATGGATCAAGATATAGTAATCTTAAATATAGATATATCTCCTAGAAAGCAAAATATAACGCAAAAATTTTGAATAAATACAATTTTTTAAAGTATATTCAAATAAAAAAATATTTAATAAGTATCTACAAAAAACATTTTAAGTATTAATGATAAAATGTTTAAAAATAGATAAGCGCAGTGTATGGATTTTAATTCTTGTATGATTTCAAATCAATATTAAGTACCTGAGAGACCGAGCTTAGCTAGGCGTTAGAAAACTACATTTACTGTTACTGGCTGCCTAGGACTAGGAGTCTGTCTGGGTAGGTATTCGTCCAGAGTCTTACCTATTCTGGCAACAAGCAACAGCGCGCGCGGGCAATATTACAGGCTATGAGGCGTTCGATCTTTGAACGCAGAGGTGACAACGCATCTGTAACCTTTTTTATTTGAAGTTGGTTGGTTGCAGGTTTCCATGGGTCCAGTAGCCACTTATCATCAGGTAGACTGGTAAGTTCGTTTGTCGCTTCAATAAAAAAAAAAACATCTCAAACGACACGTAATATATAAATAAAATTAGAAAGTAAATCATTAAATACAAAATTTCATCCAAAATGTTAGAATCATTTGCGAGAAGTGAATTACATATACATTATACAAAAATTGCTCTCTTAAAGTGTAAATATAAACACATCAATAGAATCTACGAATATTTTTTTTATAGGATAAGGGTGACAAACGAGCACACAGTCCACCTGATGGTAAGTGGTTGCTGCGGCCCATAGACATCTACATCTATCCTCTATTACAAATCAAAATGCAGATGCGTTGTGACCCGTGAGGACTAAGATGGAATGCCTCATTTCCAGTAAAAAGGGCCTCCGGCCACCTGCACTCACCAAACGAAACGCAGAGGTAAACCTCTACTTCACGCTGGTATTCTGTGAGGTCGTGGTACCTCCCCGGTTCGAGCCGGCCCATACGTGCGACAGCAAAAGCCGCCGCGTGGCTCTACCACTGTTATAATTTTATATTTTATAAAATACCTAAAATCCTATGAAAATTTTTTTGATATAATAAATAGAAGAATGATAGGTTATTTTAAGATCTTAAAAAATAAAAAACATTTCGTAATTTTTTTTTGTTTTTAAATAAAAACCTAGTTTTTTTAATCGCCGTAGAAAATTAGTATGATTAAAAAAAACTTCATTTCTTCTTAAAAAAGTATTTATTTTAATTAAAATTGAACAAATCTTATAAAATGTAATTATTAATAATTAGTGTTGCCACCTCTTACATTAATTACACATCGACATCGATTGTTCATACTTAAAATTGAATTGTCAATGTCTTGCTGCGGTATGACGTCCCATGTTCTTTGCAAGTGTTCGTAAAGTAGTTGTTCCGTCGTCAAATTTGCGGGAAATCTCTCAAAGCTTTTCGTTGTAACATGTCCCCAGCATGGTCGATAGGATTTAAGTCGGGCCACTGTGCAGGCCAATCCAAAACTGGAGTGGTCTCGGAGAGCGGCCGACACCAACCGCGTCGTATGGGAAGGAGCATTATTATTCATGAGAAGAAATTCCTGGCCCATTTGGATTTTGTGTGGGACAATAACAGGCTATACTACATCCTCGTGGTATTTTTGTGCAGTCATGCTGTATTGGATCGAAACGAGCTGGGTTCGTCCGCCAAGACGAATTCCTGCCCACATCATGATTTTTCCGCCCTGGTATGAGTGGACTTCCTGAGGGTTACCGTAGACGGTTAACTCTCCCTGAAGTTCTCTAAACGATGAAGTCCAAACCGGGACTCATCGGTGAACAGCATCAACGACCATTGTCCGTCAATCCATGGTTAATGCTCCCGAGCTTAGGAAAGCCGCCGACCGCGATTGCCACGTCGCAATGCTGGAACACGTAGCGGACTTCGAGAATGAATACGAACTTCATGCAACCTCCTTCGCACGGTTTGGTCGCTTACAGCAGCTGGTGGTCCCCCTGGAGCCTTAGTAGTAGTTGCATCGCTGTGATATCGGGTTGTCTTCTGGCGGTCATTTGGAGAAATCGATTCTGTCTCTGCGTAGTAACACGATATCTACCCATGTGCCGTTCAGCCACATCCCCAGTACTGCGATAACGTGACCACAACCTTGACATCACGTTTTGGCTGGTGTGTAGACCCTCAGCAACGACGCGTTAAATAGCACCATTTTGTGACATGCCCACGGCTCGTAACATTTCATCTCGACTCAAATGACGACGTGACATGACTCTTAAAGCTCACACGGCACGTTAATTTAAAAAAGAAAAACAATCTAATCCCTTTTCATTAATTGATATCAGAATAACAATTTTAATTTTCCTTGACGTAACGAATTACTAACAATACTTTGTTTTTTCTTGTTTTTTTTTAATTTACATTTTAAATTTTGAAAATAGAATAAAAGAAATTTCAATCTGTATATAAACTTTTTATAGAAACGAAAAAGATTTTAAACTATAAAGTCGTAAGTAATTTAAGGTATCCCTAGATTCTGTTGATGTGTGTATGTCTAATAAAAATTGAAGATGGTTCAAATTTAACAGCCAACTTACCGACGGTGCAAGTTCATAGAAAACGATATTCATATAAAATATATTCAATATCTTAAAAACTACAGACAATTAAAGATTTCGCAATAGGAATTCGCATAGCTCATTGTAATATAATTAATTTCGCACAGGCAATATCTAAAATTATATCAAATTACAGGAATAGATATTAAATTTACGATACGGGCTTCCGTTGATTTCGTTACAATGGTTTATTTGACCGTCGAAATACATAGTTCGTTTTCTATTATTCTATTAATTAATTTGGTTAGTGTTGATGGTTATGTTAATTTGCCACCAGATACAAAATAATTTGGAAAGAAAGTGACAAAGTTAATTTAGAAATTTACCAATAAAAATTTAAATTATCATGTTACATTTAATGGAACTAATTTTACGGATTTCATGGCGTTTAATTTTAACTTTTTAATTCCCGACGTTATTAAACGTAATAAAATCCGTAAAATTGGTTTCATTTTAAAGTCTAGTATTCGTGTATAAGAAAGAAATCATTACAGTTCTGCTCCCAGCGTATAATTCCGTATAAATATTTCCGCGTACGATCATTTAAGTTTTTAGTTTTAGTCCTTGTATTATGTATGGTAGGTAATAAATATTGTATATTTTAGTGTTCTGTAAATTAATAAAAACTATAAAAATATAAATTTATTTTAATGTTTTCCAAGGTATTAGAAATGAAATAGAATAATTAGATGGAAGTGAAGTTTCATTATATTTACGCCAATACTATAAACATTTAATAAAACTGATTTTTGGTTTTTATTGCGTTCATTTAAATTCTCGACGTTTCGGTCGTTTCGATGCTTTGCACCACTCAGAGTCTTGGGAGTGAGTTGCTTTTCGTCTTGCGGGGTTAGCAAAATTGATTTTTTACAATTGTTAATTCTAATAGAAGACTATAATAAAATTGGAAAGACACTTAACGGTAATCCACATGACTTAACGTTTATTTAATTCGTTATAATAGTTTTTTTATTAACAATAACGGTTGTAGGAAGTCGACATGGTTTCTCAACAATTTTACCCTTCACGAAGAACGTGGTAAACAGTTATATCGAGCTCGGGTTGCTCACTTACGTGAAGAGACTGCTCAGCCCCTGAAGTACCACTTTCTAATAAATGAGTGAGAAAAATGAAACGTGTCTACAATTTAAAAACAGTGAAACAAAAGAAGTGATGTTTTTGTACGTGGTAGAGCCATGCTGCAGGTATATTATAGTTGTAGCACGAATGAGTTAGCTCGACCGGAGAAAGGCCACGCTCTCACAGAATACCAGCGTGAAATAGCAGATCATTTCTGCTGTGTTTCGTATGGTGACCCTTTTTATTGGAAAAGAGGCATAATATAGCTGCAGCATGGCTCTGCCACGTATAAAGGTGCTCTACCACGTACCTTTTCTGCCGAGGAATATCTGGGTATGTATCTATGTGGTATGTCTCTTACCTACTTCTGTTGAGAAACAGCAGTGCGTGCACAGCAGTGCGCACATAGCTGTCTCGATCGCAAGGTTATAGAGAGTCAGTATCATTAGAGGCTGTGGGGCCTTCCGTCTCAGTCCTCGGCAGTAACAATGTAACGCTCTCTTTGTTTGAAGTTAGCTAGAGGTGTCCACGGTCTGTTAGCCGTTTACCATCAGGTGGACTGTAACTTCGTTGAGTGCTTAAGTTTTTTAAAAAAACCACAAAATATGTATCGAATGGGAAACATTAAAAAACTAAGTTGAATAAAAGAATCTCAATTGATTAAGTAAGAGTAAATGATAGGAACGGTGGATTAAGTTACGTTTATTCTGTATCGAGGCCGTGTGCTAATGGTCTGAACCTTGAACAGAGTACAGATTATTTATTCATGTTGATAAAATACTGAAAAGTGGAAATGCGATTTTCATTGCACGTGTATTTATCTGAGTTATTAAGTAGGTCTTTGGATACTACGAAATTGCTATTTTATATTTATACTAGCCAACCGCCGCGGCTTCATCTGGGTAGGATGTATTTATGTAGCGTTATTTAGATCTAAAACAATCAAAGACTATCTAGTTTATTACTTTTACAAAAAAGCCCCTAGTTTTCGAAATAAAATATAAGCCTAGATCACTCCCATCTGGTCGTGAAGTTTCATTATATTCGCTCCGACAGACAGACTGCTAATAATCAATATAAGGCAGTTATTTCGATATTATAGACAGATACTTTAATTTTATTTAAATGTATATAGATATTGAGCAAAAAATAATCAAACTTTTTATGTACGTTAGTTGTTTATTTAAATAATCTATATATCGACGACGATTACTGTCGACGCACCCTTATTTTGTTAGAAGTTTATTGATGGTTTTGCTTGCTATAGACATGGGAATCGATTCGTTTCAATTTTTTATGTAAAAAGTTATTTAAATATCAATATATTAAAGTTATAGGGACAAGATTTGATGAGTGAAGTTGAAATAGAAATTCCTTCAACGCCAAGCACGTAAATCACCACTTAAAAAACCAATTAACAATTTAATTGGTGTGGGGGTCGAACCCGGGTTGTTCGCGTGCTGTGAAATTTACAGCGAGTGCTTAACCTCTGAGTTACCACGGCTTTCAATGGTCCAACGATTGGAACGAACTTTATTACTTTCCATACAAGTTTCAAGCCGTTTCTGAATTCCCTCATTTGTGGGCTGATTGGATAAATTAGGTCAAGCTTCGGGTGAATATGCTTTTGTTTTTTTAATTCAGTTATTTAATCAATATCGATGTCACTAAGGTCGAAGACTTCTTGTAACTTGACATGACGGCTGCGTGGCGCAGTAGCTTAGCTTAGCTTCCCCGCTGGTTCGAATCCCGCAAGGAACAAGTATTTGTATGGCCTTAAAATAATTGTTCTGGTGCTGGATGTTCGTCGTTGTGAAATTTATATTTGTAAACTGCCTTCACGATACAGGAGATAATCCTAGTGTGGAGGTAATGTCTTTTTCAAAACTCTAAATTTGTTTGAGATGTTTGTTGTCGCTACCACTAAAGCTTTCATTTGTCATTATTGACTTTAGTCTTCAGTCATCGACGCTGGCCGTTGCTGAGGTCGAAATTTCAAAAACAGAAGCTAATAACGCACCATGTACTCGTTAGTACCTGGTCACATAAACATATCTTTTTAAAGGCTTTCTTCAGTCTATTTTTTTAAATTGAAATGAAAAACGACCTAGTAGTATCTAAGTGGCTATTGAAAGCATTGGACAGGTGTAACCAACTTCAAACAATGAAGTTACAGTAGGTTCATAGTAACCTTTGGCGACTAAGTATTGCTCACAGTATGTATTATGTAAGCTCTCTTTAATTATCACACCGTAACACTGCATTGCTGGCACTGCTTGCACTTGACTCTTAAGCACTCATAGCAAGGGAGTCCTACCAACCAGAAGTCTGTATAGCATTGGTGCCGCAAAAAATAACAAACGGCGCGAAAACAGACAGCCGATTATTAATAAAATTAAATTGAATGACAATAATTTGAATTTGGAATTGCAAGTCGAACACAAAATATAGCTTCAAACTGGCCAGTACATAAAACAAAATTCATATGTTAGAAACTAATATTTATACCGCTCGGTAATAGTTGTAGTTTATTGTGTTTGTTTCCTACGATGTTAAAGTATATTAAATTTTCAAAATAGTGTCTAAAATATTGGACTTTGACTAACTTGTGAGATGTTATAACGGAAACATTTTAAAACAGTAAAATAATAAGATCATGTTATGAACTATCGCTTATTGTCAAAAGAGGGTAGTTAAAATCAATCAACATAATTATGATAAAAACCTTGTAACGATTTCACAGAGGCCCGCGTCTAGCTATAAGCCAGTGGCAAAAGAAAACCATATGATACAGGAAGCAACTGACGAAAAAAAGGTCTAACAAGTGTTAAATGATTTTCATTTGCCACTTTATTACTCGAAACGACATAGGGCATCACGTACCTGCCCCTCCATCGGCGCTGGGTCCAAGCATGTTATGGACACGGTTGGCGTACAGCACGAACGTCGGGTACGGGATATCGTATTTCCTCGCGGCTTGCGACAGCGACAGGCCCTCTTTCAGCACCGAGAAGATGGCCTCGGCCATGGTCTCTGGTCTCCAGGACTTGAGCGGCCCACGTTCGCGGAATCGTAGGTTGTGGACCAGACTTTGGTTGGTGTTCCAGCACTTCTGCCACATCGACTGCAGTTGGTACTGGTAGCTATCTGCTGAAAATAGGACGAACGCATCAGTATACTTGTCTTAACATTATACAAAAGTTTAGTGATCTATTTATATAATGTAAAAAATTAAATAGAATTAGGGTGTGGTTGGAATTAGGTCTTACCACACTCCCAACTTGCGACATGGTGAAGATTCGCAAGGATATAGCCGTTTATATTATAATTAGAAATTATCACACCAGTTGAGATGTTATAGCGAATGTATTCAGAATATGCAAGACAAATGTTTATACACATACGAACACACACACACACACACACACACACACACACACGTCAATAAAAATAATATTTATCTATCTAGCTTTGAAACCAATAGTTAAGACTAGATTGTTAATTGTAACGGCGTATATTGAATTTACAAAACCCGTTTCTAATTAGCGCTCACTAACAAACTATAACTGAACTGTAGAAAAGTGCACCATATGAAGAAATACCTCGCTGAGACTTACACACATAGTGTTGTTAAATAAGTTCAGTTTTCTTTGCTCTCTGCTTCTTATAACCTACTACTCTTTAACCTTAATAACGATATCGTAATAAATAAGAAATAGGAATTAATTAAAACTAGTGTCGCGTCTGGCCTAAATTGACCTTATGATGTGCGTATATGATGTCCACTTTATTTTACCTGCCTTAACGACAACAATATTTTTACTGCACATCTATTGCGCAGTAACTACAGTGAATTATATAAGTTTTAATTCCCTTTCTTTATAAATACCAAAAAACGTAAATTTTACCATTACGATAATCTTCAATGTATTAATAAATCAATATTAACATGAGCCAGGGGATAAATATGTCAAAGATAAACCGAATCACAAGCCTATTTAGTGTATTTAAGTAATTGCATGTTATAACAATACCAAATAACAACAATCTACGTATAAAATAGTCGTGACACACACAGTAAATCTATAAGTTCCGTTTTGCAAATTTTCGCACGGAATTATAATGATGTTGGTAAACCGGAGTAGAAAAGCTACGTAGTTAATAAATATAATAGAATATATTTTAAAATGAAAAAGCTAATTACAGAGGTATTTCTATAGACTACAGACACATTTTTTCCCTGGCATTAGACATTTACAACTTTATAAATGCGCAAAAAAAAAAGCAAAACGAACATTCCTACATACTGACCTCGCGATGAACCTGTAAGCTCGAAGAAATATAGGAAATTATTAGCGTAGGGTAAATAAAAACAAGTGCTACAAAAATATATTTATTGTATAGTCTGTTTTTTTACGTTCTTATGAAATATAAATTGAATAACTGAGTGTTTTAAATCGAAGACGATTACTTCTTGAATTCAAACGTATACAATTAGTTCTTTAAACCATGTATTTCAACATAGAAATAACATTTAAAATGGTGGGACTTAAAGTTAGCTACGCAAAGTAAATAAAAAAGTAATGAAACATACAAATGGACTGCCTATACGTATTGAATAGAAGTAAAAAAAAACAAAATCTATTTAATCCTTAATACTATAGTGTTTTAATTTTTTAATTTTATATTTGAGCATATTCTTGGACGGATATCCATTAAGTAAAGTAAAGACGCAAGGAATACAATCCAAGCAATTAAGTCTTATTTAGGTCTGTATAAGGACCCCAGCTATGTACAAAATTCTTAACTTTGTTAATATTTAGAATCATAAACTGAATATAAATGCAAAATTTAAAAGCAACGGAAAAGTTGGAGTAGCTGTTTATATTAATCAACCAACATTTACGTTCAATATTCCAGTTATAAAAGTCAGATAATATTATGCTCTTAAGGTATATTTTTGTTAAACAACCTACTTAATTATAATATTTTAACATAGAAATATACATCCTCATTAATTCAAACATATTAGGTACATTGAAGTTGGGAATGAGTCACATTTATTTTTATAACATAATGGGCCGTCGAGGGCAAATTACGTTCATTGGCGCTTTGATATTTTATAGCGTCCCGTATATTGCAAGTACCTACTTATATTCATTAAATGAATTGAAAACGTATTCAGATTGCTTGCGATTTAATAAAGAACAATTGATGTAGTGATCTCAATTAAATGATTTATTAATTTATCGTTTTATAGCGACATCTTTTAGCCAACTCCATAACTAACACGATGTTTAAAATTTGTATAATATATATAACCTATTTATTAGATAAGCCTGCAAGCGTTACCATTGCAACATATTTAAAAAAAATACGTGAAATAGGGAGCGAAAAAACTGTAGAAGATACCCAGGGCCTAGACGAAGTAAACTTTATAACGTATAGCAAGAATTAATTACAAACAACGAGTTATATTCGCGATTTTCAATTAAGATTGGTTAAACCGTACAAATAATTTTATCTTTTAATTATTATCTGTGGCGTGTATATTATAAATTATAAAGATGGAGGGAAGATAAAGATAAAGATAAGAAGAAATCTTGAACCTTGCAGTGGGAATATCTTGTTAATATAATATAGATGTTTTGTATAGAAAGTTATGGAGCTATTGAGGCCTTGACACTTTATAAATGTGTATAAATAATTTTTAGGAATTGTGCTACATAATTTGACGTCATTTTTATTGTTACTTCCGGACTGTTACAGTTTAAAGATCGCAATCTTGTTTTTTGTTTGTCTAATTGTTATTTCCGTGTTATACATACTACTACATAATATGTACATACTATTTTGGCAGTATCTTCTTTCTGTCTTTCTATTCGATTACAATGTGGATGTTTTCACGGCAAAATTTACAAGGCTTTTGATAAATCAGTGCACTTTACATATATAGTACAGGATAGAAGTTAAGCACTAGGTTATATTAAAAGAAAATGATTTCAAAACAACGTTTTTGTAAAAAATAATCTTCCATTTGTTAGTTCTGGACTTTATAACATAATCTGTGCTAAAGGTAAGTTCTGAAATTGAAAAGTTTCACTGCGATTTTGAAAGTTTAAACTTGACAACCTTTTTAATAATAAAAAAAGGATTAAAGGCAAGTGTTAAACTCTCATTCAGCCGCTTAACACTTGCCGCGTACAAACTAAGCGAGCAAACGAAAGAAAGGCATCTGTTGTACAGTGAACAAAGCAACACCGATCAGCCCAGCATTTTTGTGGTGTATTTTAAGTTTTTGATGCAACAGTATTTTTATTGAAAAACATCCATTTTTTCTTCCTTTTTCTTTCGCCCGTAACAGTCGACTCTTCACTAGTAAGGAGGATTTACTATAATTTGCAGCGATTGCTACACCAAACCTCACATTTCCATCACTCAGTCATGTAATCTTGCATCTTTAACGCTGCTCTCCGAAGCTGGTCTAGATATTTTGCAACTGCTATATAAGAGATCATTGGCCGTGTCGTGGCGATGTAAGAATACTACGCAATATCGTCCCTTGGGTGTCGTAAAACACTACAGAGGGAAACTGAAACAGATGGGCAGCAGCAGCATCTTATTCATAACAACTTAAAATTATAAAAAAAAACTACGGTTGCTAACTCGCCTGCCGAGCGTGGCAACTATGGCGAAATCTCTATGAGGCAATCTATGGTGGAGGTCTATGTTCAGCAGTGGACTTTTATAGGCTATAATACATGGATATAAGTGATGGCAATATATCGCCACCTATCGGAAGCTGTAAAATATATCTGGTTCCTAGCGATGTAAGGTGATGAATTTACCTCACGGCACATCGGGTAATCGGCTGCCTTTACAACTAAACTATGTGCCGTCCTACATTTATAGTTTTTTTTCTATTTGGATTGCAATGCAATAAATTTGTTCCTTTTGTTATTGGTTTTGTCAAACTTTATTTTATTAATTTCGTTCTACCTGCCCTTTAATAATATAATAGTAGCGCTCATATAATTTCTCTTTTATAAAACAGTTAATCTTTGTTCGCATTATATTTATATTAAACACAGGTGAGGGGACAAATCTAAAACAGTGCATTGTGTACTTTCGTTAATTGTTAAACGCTACAGCTTAACTTTGCCTTTTGGAAATTATTATGAAAATAATTAATATTAAAAGGTTATAAGTGACAATTCCTTTCTCTACGCCTTAAATGTATGGACTTCGAATACAGCAGAGGAATTAAAAGTGCGTTGCCAGCCTTTTAGAATGGAGCAAAATTTTTTCCTGATGGTCACGTTTCTTACATTTAAAATGAATTAAAACAGAAAAGATCGCTAATGTTATTAAAATTTAAATGGCAATTTTTTTTAACATCAGTGTTAATTACTCTGTGAGGAACAATTGAACGTTTTTTTTGTAATTAGATAACGTGTAAAGATGATTATAGAGTAATTTACGATAAGCTTCGATTATGCCTCATAATCAATACAATTAAAATAATAACATGTTGAAATAGACGACTTGTTTTGTATTCTTTTAGATAAATACAGCTAACAGAAACAACCCACATTTATATAAAACAAATAATAAGTTATTCCTCCCTTTATAGCGGTAATTATTTCAAAAACGGTCACATTTCAATTACAAGAGCGTTAGTTATAAATGAGTTTTGGCGGGAATTTGACCGCTGGCGGATTGCTGTTTCTGTATTATTATAATCGTTTAAATAATGATTTATAGCGGCTTTTGATATATATATTAGTGCTGCGATTTTGTGTTTTAAATATCTGCCCACGCGGACACGTGAGCAATAAGTCAGGTCACATAACAGGAACATGATCATATATCTATCGTCATCGATTTTTTCCGATTTATGCTGTCAATATCGTAAATATTATTAACAAACAATGTTTATTTTCAGAGTATTGTATTACAGCGATGGATGTATTCTTGACCGAAGGCCTAGTAGCCAATGCCACAATAAATGAAAAAAATATCTAATAGTAGAAGAGCGTTAGTAATGTAGCAACATTGCATTGGAGCACCAAAGAATGATCCAAATTCAAAAATACATTTTACAAAAAAGCATGCACTCAGCTTTACCTTATTGTTAAGTAAAGTGAAATGACACTTAAACGTTTAACATCAACCATTTTAATATTGTAAGCGACTCAACTGCGGTCTTCCAAGTACCATAAAGTTACAGGTGCACACATTTGTTGCACCCTTTACCGCATTATGTACATATATAATTACTTAGTTGTTGCTCTTAATTACGTAAGGTGAACTGAGTAGATAACTGCAAAATTCCTTCTTCCACACATTAAGATGAATTAATTCTATCGTGAATATCTAATTAAATAAACGATTGTATTGTCTAATTACAAATGCTAATTAGTTGAAATTAGCTTAGTTCCGATCGACTAGGCTTGACGGCTGAAAAACTAGTCGAATGCATTTGTAACAACAATTTCAATATGTTGCTATATTATACAAAACTACTGGTAATTTATTGCGTTACCAATATTACTTACGATCAGCAAGTAATTATTCGCGAACAGAACGCTGCAATATCGAGATACTATATTTGTTACAAGAGCCCGAATGCAGTTTCTGGATTGCTGTATGATTATTTAATTCAACGTCTAGTGCGTCTGCACTTAAATAGGAGTGTAGACAGTTAGTAAGTATTTAAGTTTTATTATAGTGCAGTTAAAACCTAAACATGGTGTCGTTAATAAAACAAAAAAATGTGTAATTTTTCGAATGTTAATGATCTTGTTGTGACAGTCATCCAATGATCTCTTTAATCACATCAAAATTACTGTGTACACTGCACTGTACTAACTGCAAAAACTTAAAACTAAATAAAGTAAATTTGATACAATTAACTTTTACGACAGCATTCGCTTCTTCAGGCTTCGTAAGTTCCACATTATGTGAAACATTAACATAACTTAGATCCACATGAATATTACTAATAAGTATCATAATATCACAAGCGATAAAAGGCACAATGAGAATTGTTACTTAATTCTAATTTAATAATCTATCAGTCCAACTTAATGTATCTATGAATAGATAACGTTTTACAACAACGAAACCATTTTACAAGGTGTGATTCAATGATGATAATTGACAAATTTGATCACAAAAAATTGTTCAAAAATATATTAGCATTCCTTTATATGTTTTTAGAAATACCATCACACTCGATCAAAAGATTCAAAAACGAATTATATAAAAATAAACGAGTATTCTAAATTGATATGTTATGTTGTATCGTTGTAATCAAATACTTTAACATATTGTTTTATCACTCATATCATACATTTTAATTGTATATGAATGGCCGAACATAATATTGAAAAAAGAAATTCCAGATTCTTCTGAAATGATCTAGCACAAATTTGTTTTGAAAATCAAAGGCTTTTATATATAATAGGACTTTTTAGTTTTCTTATTTTTTTAAGATTCATCATCAGTATTGTGTTCGGCTTTGACCTTTGAATTTTTTACTTTACTCGATCCTTCATAATACAACGAAACTATAGAATGCTTCTTACAAAACGCCCACCACCATCGAAAGCCAGTTAGACCAATGAATGCAAAACCAGGGTCTCTGTTACGTCGTAGCTTTTCAACAAATGCTAATACTTCGGCAAGAGATTTTTTAGTTCTTCTATTGTAAGGGGAAACGCTGGTTTCGCAACAGAAATCTAATACGGCTCTCTCTTCGTTAGCAGATAGTCCAGCTCCGTCTAACACGGCCATGCGTTTTGATTTCCCTAAAATATTATCATACAAAGTTCCTTTTGGTATTCCGTAGTGAGTGGCCGCTTGTGTGAACCGCATTTTCTGCGTGACGACTGCTTGTATCGCTTCTTGCAGTTGACTCTGGGTCCAGGTTGGTGCTTTCAACTTCAGAGTATGACCGTGGAACTCTGATCGACAGATAAAGCAAAGACGCTAGCGTAGAATTCACACTATCTACATCCGCTATAATGATGCATTACTCTTTTAACTCTATGGCTTCCTAATACAAATTTTTGCAACAACCGATATATTGTAACGTTGCTAAAACAATTTAATTACAAAAAAACTTTACCGTTTTGTAACATACAATTACGTATGATAATGATTGAGTTCCTTGATTTCTTACGCATACTCAAAGCCATACATTTAAGTCTGTTAACATATCCAGTAGGAATCGCAATAATAATTACGAACAGTATTAAAATTAGCAATCGGTACGTCAACTCGGCGGCTTAATTAATAACTGCTAATGTACTCGTATCTTTGGTTGACAAGAACTTTTACAGCGACCTCAATACTGCAATATCATATAATTTGCGAAAATAAATATACATGGCAGCCGTTATAATACGGCCAAGTTTCCCACGATGTGAATAATTTCCCACAGCGCGACAACAGTTACAAAGAACTACACTTATCTAGTTTGGATACGAACATCGTTGCGTACTGCATCATTATATGTACGGATTATGATATACATAGTTAGACATGCGTGTAACACAATCTAATACAATGGAGTCGGGTTTAGAAATAATAATAAAAAATTGAATTGCCACAATCGAGCTCAAATTGCTGTTTATTATGACACAGTTAATAAAACTCCTTGTATATAATTGTAATATTTTTCATAAATAATATTCAAGAACGATGTCTATAGAGTTGTTTAAGTATTTTAACAAAAAACAGAGACACTGGGCGATTTAATCTCTATCGTGGCATGGATATTACGTATGACGAAACAAAAAATAATAAATGTGCTTTGATAATAGAATAATTATTAATGAGGATATCAACTGACCTGCAATAGAGGATGTGGAGGCACCGAGCCATGCATGTGAATTCTCGAGCAATTTGGCCTGTAAACAAAGGAAAGAGAATGTTATTAATTTATTTCGACATTGAAAGTTTAAATGCAAAGTTGTTACAAGAAAATCAATATTCAACATGCATTCTTTACATTTTTATTGATTTGTTTATAGGAGGGGATATCTGCTGCAGTTGTCACGCTTGGTATGATTTCGATTTGTTATCAGGAAGATGCTGCTACCAAGCAACTGTTTAAGTTTTCCTCTATCGTCTCTTACGTATTGATTCTTTTTCGTTCTCACAAGAACAAAGATAAAAGTGATAAAAATATTTACATATCAGTTCGTTCATCGTTGTGTGCTCAAAAACTGTAGAATTTATTACAAAAGGTCAACATGTATTTAAAACTTTATCTTTTCATTATATTACAGTTATAAACGATATTTATGTGAGTAAACAATAACAAATAATTCAATGACATTAAATTAATAAAGGAAAATTATAAACCACACATTTATTGAGAAATACGCCATCATAAAAATAAAAGTCCATATTCTTCAACGGCAGAAACCAATTGACTAGAATAAAAGAATCATTTTATAAAAAAGAGAAATAAATAGCTTATGAATAAACTTAAAGTTCAATTGAAAAAGCAAAGGTAATTAGGTTTTTATAAAAGTAAAACAATTTAAATTCATGAGTATTTTACCTTGTGCGGTTATAATATCTTTTATCGATAACTTAATAATTGTTTTAAGAATAATTAATAGAGGTTCACGGGTGGCCATTATGGTTCACAAACGACATATACAGTTTACTACAATTTGATATTGATGATATTTGAAAAGCTTGTATTATGATTTAAGTGTTTTAAAGGTAAATCGTATGGTTCGTTTAAAGAATAAGGGAGTTAAACAAACACACAGTTTACATAATGGTAGTGCTGTAACCCAAAAACACATACATCTGTGCTCGATGAATAATCAAAATATATTATTAAAAAATTATAATAGATTAAAAAAAAACTAATTCTAAAAATTTAACTACATTGTAAGTGGACTCCACGGACCGATAGTCTCTACAGCAAGTGCCACAAATATGTAGTCATCTCTCAGAGACTCATATTTGCGTCACTTAGTTCAGCTACCTCTGATGCCGCCCCGGCTCTAAACGAGCTACGCCTGAGATGAGAGGCTGCCAAAGTATCTACGCAAGTAACATCCCATACTAAGGTTTTAAAAGTTACCACCAAGATTTAAATTAAGCAAAAACTTAAACCTGCATGCTGAGGCAATGTTTACCTAAGGATAACTCCAGTACATTAATTATGAAGAAAGTTAGCAAATGTGGATCCACGTTTCCATTGTATTAACACATTCTAAAATTTACGAGTGTGTTTATTATAATAAACGCACCGAACGTCACAATGCGCTTGTTATTAATTTAAAATACAATTAAAATGTATAAATATTCATAAAATCGCTGTAGACGGCCATAAATTATGCCAGGGTCCTTATTATTTAAATGAAATTACAACTGCTTCAATAAATAAACTTTTAATTATGGTGACAGAAAACGTCTTACTAACAATTATCGGCATTATTATATACGCTGTGGAAACGACAAAATGGCGAGTTAGCCGACTAAACTTAGCCCCAACATATTTTCATAAATCGAGGCAGGAAGGCACCGTACACGGCCCAAGCAAGCAAGTATATTGTTTCCAGGGGAGTACCTAATAATATTATGGGCGAGTCGCAAACGCGGCGCGTTCATAAATCTATTTTATCGTACTGGAGCAATAAATTTTATTTTGGGATCTTTAATTCTTTGTTATTGAATTGGATTTTAGTGTTTTATACGAATAAACAAACATCGGGGCATTTCAACTGGTAGGTACTTAGTGCACGTGCGCTGGCGGTAAACAAGCCTAGCGTCGGCGCCCGACGTCGCACGCCCAACTTAATAAAACATTTTATTTGTAGATTGTACTGTTGTAACTGCCGTGCCGTCTTAGCACGCCGCCTTTGTCTACGTCCACAATTAAAACTTCGATAAAGCTTAGATCGCGCGATGGCACAAAGAAATGCCGCCCGGCGATTGTGTGCCGAACGTAAACAGCGACTGGTGTACATTCGGCGCATTAAATACAGTAGCAATCGATAAAATGCTCGATCGTAAACTTCCTGCCGGCGATGGGGAGGTGTAAATTAACGGGCGAATTGTTCTTTTTCATCTGACCGTTACAATTATTGACGCGTTAGACACCGGCGCGGATTCACTGTGCGAAGTGTTTGATACCTTCCCGTTGCCCGCTTGTTACAACGCAACAATCGTTTTGTTGTTCTATTTGGACGTGCAAATGATGTGCTTCCGAACCATTAAGGCTAGGAGGACGCGATATGTATCTTTTTTATTTAGCGATTCTTGCTTAGATTTTAAAAAGATCGCCTCGGTTCGGTCTTTGAACTTTGCCGTATATACAGCAGCAATATCGCTGTTTTGACAGTGAGTGATGCTGAAACAAATTACTGACCACAAAGCGTTACCATAGAACATAGTCTTCAAATTAGAATTCAGAAATAAGGAGAGGAAGAAACAGAAAGAGAGAGAAAGACGAAGGAAAAGAATGTCAAAGATATTGCAAATTGCTCTATGCAGTTAGTGTAAGTAGTACAAAACAGGTAGTCGTACTATATATGTATACGCGTTAGTGTGTCTATACAAACCTATACAAAAATACTCACGTGTCCGATATAGCTTTACATTATTCGAAACACCTTGGTAATCTAGTATATCGTATGACAAATAGAAACATTAATAATACAGCTACAACTCATTATTCATTTAATAGCAAGAACGGAAATGATTTCTCATTGTTAGACATAATGAACATTAAAAAAAGAAATACCATATCATAATAGAATAGTTGATATCAATGTAAACTGAAATACTTAACAATGGAGTAATTTATTAATGAAAGTATTATTTATTCAATAAGGTCGTAAGAACCAATCAAGAAACACTGTAAACAGTACATTTTGGATTAAATGCTAAAATTTTATTTGGATCGTAAATGACGTTATAACTTAAGTCCTCTTAAAGGATCTAGTTACAATGCGGTAGTGAAGTAAGAGAATTACCCAATTTTGGTACCATGGGTGATGTCAAAGGCGACAATAGAAATTGTCAAAAAGTCAACTGATGGCAGTATTATACTATGGCATTTATTTTACGCCAGACATAAAATACTTAGACTTGGCAGCAAAGGTCCAGGACGTCTGGGATTGCGTGCGTCAATCTGCCAATTCTGAATTTTAATTTTGAAATATAAAATGTATCGTGAATATTAAGATAAAACCCGAATTGGATACGTTTTTATTGGTAGTGATGTATTCCATACTATTCTTTAGAAGTGGCAACGTATATGCATTATGAAATTATGAGAATAAATTTAAGTGTCTTTTTTTTTAAACTGAAGTGACAAAGGAACTTAGGTACATGGAACCTGGTCGTATGACTGCTGCAGCTTGGAAACCTGTAGACAACTTGCAACAAAGGAGACTACAGATGCGTTGTCACTACAGAGAGTAAGATGGAATGCCTCACATCCTGTAAATATACTGGATCTCTATACCCTACACACCGGCACAAAGCAGTGCAGGCACTGCAAAAAAGTGACTTTTTTTATAAAATAAGGGTGACAAACGAGCACACAGTCCACCTGATGGTAAGTATAAGAGTAAGTAAGATGCGTTGTCAGCCGTGAGCACTAAGATAGAATGCCTCTGTTCCAGTAAAAAACGTCTCCGGTTGTCTACACTCACCATACGAAACACAGCAGCATTAAGCTGCTATTTTACGCTGGTATTCTGTGAAAGCATGGTCCTTCCCCGGTCGAGCCGACTAATTCGTGCTACAACTATACTATTAATATAACTGCAGCATGGCTCTACCACGTAAACTCCATGGCAGAAAAGATTAATATCACCTAAAAAATTGGTTGTGGGTAACGATCAGAATCAGATTAACTGGGAAATTTTGTAACACATTAATTTCAATAGAGAAGAGATGGATGGGCTATTTGCTTGGGATTAACAAAATTTAATTCACCCAAGCATTCTACTGCCAAACTTCAAGATACTGTAAGCTTGTTCTGCGTAGATCGGACCAAAACTTAATATTCAAAAACCGAGGGGTTAACTATGACCACGGGACGTTAAACATCTTAGTCCCCTCGTGACCATGGGTGCTGTAAAGCACGTGAACCGTCGGGAATTAAAAATAAGTTAATTAAATGCGATAAAGTCCGTTAAAATAGTTTTATTAAATGTATAGTGTTCGCGTAAATATAAGATATAGGAAATTAAAGTAGGTAAAGACAAATTCACTGTATTGAAACTCCACTTATAAAAGCTTTTGCCAACGTCTCAACGATATTTTTAGAGGGAGAGTCGGCGAGACGCTATGTTTAGTGGCTTTTCTTTCTTTTCTTGTTTGCTTTCCTTCTTTGCACTTTTAAAACTATCGTCAAGATTTCTTTACCTTTATATTGTCCCACTAGAAAAATTAAAAATTAAAAGTAATTTAAGTTGAGTGGATCTCGATTTTTTGATTTGGTGACAATAGAGGCACTACATCTCCGCTTCGCGTTCAATGTGTGCAAAATCAGTTTAGGCTCAATAGAAGTTCTTGGAAAGGTTTTAGACCCTCATTCTATAAAAAAAATCACCCGCCAGACGAAATGGGGTGATGGATTAACTTACGCCGCCATCTCACAACATATCATCACTGCAAAGTATCTTTGATTTTAAGAATAAACTTGTTATATGATAATATTTTTTTTAAATTCACATAAAAATGTAAATCTTTTTTTAATATACTATAATAAAAAAAAAACTAAAACCAAAAACTTAAATTATCATAATATAGTCCCTACTCGTTATATCGTGACAAGAATGCTGCCTGCGTTTCCTTGCTGAATGAACCAGCCCTCTAAGAACCAACAGGCGCGTGTACAGTTCCTTTAGGAACTTCGCCGCAAGTGGACCTCACGGACCGATAGACTCAGACTCACTACAGCAAATGGCACAAATATGTAGTCACTGTCAGAGATAATTTTATATAATTATAATAATATAATCTATGATTAAATGCAACTACGATTATACAGAGTTCCATTGTAACTGCTGTTTAAATTGTTAGTAGCAATAAATTTTACGCACGATGTATTTAGCTCTTTCACCTTACCTTCATACGTGGTAGAGCCATGCTGCAGCTATATTAAAAGTATAGTTGTAGCACGAATGGGTCGGCTCGACTGGGGAAGGACCACGCCCTCACAGAATACCCGCGTAAAATAGCAGCTTAATGCTGCTGTGTTTTGCTTTTGTATGGTGAGTGTAGAGAGCCGGAGATCCTTTTTAATGGAAATAAGGCATTCTATCTTAATCCTCATTGTTACCAACGCATCTGCATTTTAATCCGCAAACGAAGATAGATGCAGATGTATATGGGCCACAGCAACCACTTATCATCTGTTGGATTGTGTGCTAGTTTGTCATCCTTATTCTATAAAAAAACCTTACTGTTATCAAAATGCATTCTTACAGTGGCCGCATAAGAATATCCACTAGCACATATCGTCCCGTGGTCGCCATAAAAGACGACAGAGGGAAAGAATCAGAATATGGGCCACAGCGTCTACCTAATAACAGCTAAAAAAACACGACTGCCAAATGTGGCAACTATGACAAATATCCTCGTGGTAGAGCCATGCTGCAGCTATCTTAGTTGTATAGTTGTAGCACGAATGGGTCGGCTCGACCGGGGAAGGACCACGCTCTCATAGAATACCAGCGCAAAATAACAGCTTAATGCTGCTGTGTCTCGTATGGTAAGTGTAGAGAACCGCAGACCCTTTTTACTGAATCACCCTTGAGGACTAAGATGGAATGCCTCGATTCCATCTTAGTCCTCAAGGGTGACAACGCATCTGTATCTTGATTCGTAATCGAGGATAGATGTAGATGTCTATGGACCACAGCAAACACTTACCATCAGGTGGACTGTGACTGTGTGCTCGTTTGTTACCTTTATTCTATAAAAAAATATAAAGCTATCTGTGGGGAATGCTGTTTAGCAGTGGATTTTTCACAGGCTGTAAAAGTAGCGGTAGTAAAAAGGAATCATCAAAATTGGTTCACTACTGACAAAGATGTCGCGTAACATACAAACAAACATACAGTCGAATTGTAAACCTCCTTCTTTTTTGAAAGTCTTCCAAAAACTTTTCAATGCTCACTTTCCCTAATGTTAATACTACAGAAAAAGGTAAAAATTACAGGCTTTTTAAAGGTTTTTGCTGAAAGCGTTGTGTAAATAACGTGTTAAGCACTTGTAAATCGCACCAAATAACATAAACTATCTGTTATTAACGAAGGGACACCGGTTATCAGTTATTACTGCACATGTTTCATGAATGCGTCAGCGAAATAATTACAACGGGGCCGGCCTTAACTATCTCTTTCAGTACTTTGTTCTTGATATTAACAATACTGAATGTTTTAGTTGCTCTGCATACAAAGTGCGACCCCACCCCCCAGTTAATGACTAAATGTTTGCTAAATGATACACCCCGCATAATAAATAGTCTACTTGCGGACACACGGACAACGGGCTTCTGTAAGTTTGTGTTAAAATTTTCTTTTTTATACAAGATATTAAATTAGATGTTTTTTTTTTAAATAAAATATTCACACAATACCTTGGAGATATTTTATAGTTGGCCTAATAATTTAAAACCAATGAAAATTGAGTTAAATTTATTATCTTTTTATAATTCGAAAAATATTTTGTTTTTGGTTCGAAACCTGGTATGTCCACAACAAAGAACAAAGGGGCGTAGCCAAACGTCTGGTGGTACGATGATGGGATCCAGAATCTCGATCTCCTTGTATCCTAAATGCTTCTTTCCGTGAAGGGTCGCATTGTGATATGTATGGAACGCACGCAAGCCAACGACAAGATGCGGTGATGGGATCTAGTTGTATTTTCATAACTTATAATAAAATACAAAAATATACATATATCAAGCGCTAAAGCTAAGATCTAATTTTAGTAAAGACATGGGCATGGGTCTTGCGCCTACAGGTATCAGAACAGCACCGCACCCTGCTGGGTTCGGACCTCTTCCACCAAGGTGACGTGCGTGACCTCGGTGGAATACGTTCGATTCTACACACACTCGAGTTTCTTAAAGAGAGGGTTGACAACTAAGATTACAACTTTAGTAAAGACATGGGCATGCGTCTTTTTTTTCGTTTGAAAGGTCTAAAGTATTCTTAGCTATGTTTTAAAAAAATATGTTCATATACGTTTCAAGGTCGTCAGCTCTTTTTGTTTCGGCGGCTTTTTAAATTATCAATTTAAGTTACTTTACTCTACGTTACATACTTGATGGAATAATAAACCAATTTAAACAAGTCCCATTTCCCGGTAAATGCAATATACTCCTTCTAGTTCCATACTATTCTTCTAATACATATCGACTTAATTAAAGCTTTTAAATGCTGTGGAAACGATTCCTAAAGCCAAATGAAATTCACAAAACGCTATTTAAAACATTATAACTTTAAAACATTTTGACCTTAAAGTGTTAA